AGCAGCCTCAGTTCACAATGATCAATCTTATCTCTTCATATCGCATCAAAAATGCTTGGAAGGAGAGTGTGTAGTGATCTCGAGACGTAATCAAATAATGCATTGCAAAGCAGTTCAAATATCAGAATCTGTCCCACGGGAACTCTTTTGCTATTGCAAAATATGGTGGTATGATGTTCGACTGCCAAAAAGAGAGCCGGAATAAAGTCCCTAAGTCACTATCATCTTCAAGGGCATGCGAAACTCTTGCGCTGCTATAGTTATCATTGGAGGTAACAGATGGCGACACAAGCAAGCAACTACATACCCCGTACACCAAGTGAGAATACCACCGCGTGATCACTATAGTGTACTAGAAGGTAGAGACTAACCTGAGCTTTTCAAAAGCCTTAACACTGTGATTATGTATCCCAAGAGCCGAGTCTTTCTAAGTATAGGTCTTAGCCAGAACACTGGGGTGTCCCCATTCGACCCCCCAGGAGGATATTATCCCCAGAAATATTGGATTTTCCCTTATATATACACTGAAGTGCCACTGAATTAGGGGTAGACATGGCTATGCAAATTTTGTAAAGCTGCGAAGCATTTGTGCTCACGTGAGGGCGTTGTGGTAACTACTTATATAGCTAGCACTATGTTTGTTGTTAATCAGTCGTTTCCAGTTGCCAGTATGGATAAAACGCCTGATTTACACCTTCGATCGCGGGGAGAGAGTAGGCGAACGACTCATGGCCATTCAATTTCCTAAATCGTCGGAGGGCTAGGATTTTTAAGGCCGACAGAATCAAGAGTATAACGAGAATACACGGATTGTGTGAAAACGCTAGCGATCGGACAAATTGCAAGGCACAATCAGCCTTGAACCCGGATGGTGTGAGAAGGCTCAGCCGTATTGTACATAGCTAGAGAAGCTAAAAATTAGCTCAAATTATCACTCAACTGAATCAGGGCACCAGTCATATAGTCAGTGAATGGATTGTGAAACCCTCTCTTTGCCATATGGGCTTCGGGAGCCGTAGACCCATGGGGCGATGAGTCTCGATTTCGACTACTTAATACCGGCGGGAGGCTAAGAATAGGACATCAGGCTCATGAAGCCATGGATCTTGCACGCCAGGTTGGAACTGTACAAGGCCATGTAGGCTTAGTCACATTCTGGGGTGTTTTCTGTTAGCAGGGTTTGGAAACGTCGGTACTTGTACCAAACTGCCTCAATATGAGTAGTAAGTAGTATACGTAGAGTCGCTGGGCGAGCATTTCCATTCATTTATGTTATCCTGTCATTCATGCGGAAATGGAGTATTCCAGCAAGATAACTGCACCTCTCTCAGGTCCCGGTCAGCTACTGCTTGGTTGGATGACCATTCCTCTGACATTTCTATCAAGATTTATCTACCTAGAAGCCTTAAATCCTATTGAGCACCTTTCGAATATTTTAGAGAAAGGTATGAAGCACATCACATAACATTAGCAACCATTCCTGAATTATGGACAGTTCTATCAGTTGTTTGATTAGCCATTTCCGTAGAATGCTTCCGCAAACTTATTGAAACTATGCCTCGTCATGTGGCAGCCATTATCAAGCCCAGAGGAGGCCCAACTCGTTATTGACTTACTATCTCTAATCCAGTGGTACTTCAGTGTATATACCTCACATAATTAAAAAATGATTAGCCATACAAAGTTAAAATTTTATACATGGGACTGCTATAACAGTGTATATTAATAGACACGCTATAGTGTTTTATTTGAAAACGGATAAACAATGGTGATGCAGTGTCAAAAATTGGGACATTAGAATATCTATTCGAAAAGGAACATGGTTCGAGAATTCTAAAATTACATTTGTGACTTGCAATATTAAGCAGCGGCTATTCGGTGGACTGTGCAAAGAGACTGACTAATGTCTCCTTATAAGAGTTGCAGATAGAAGTATGGCTACTTTGCTGAAAGCAATAAAAGAAAATATAGGCCATGAATCTACAATTGTTTCCGGATTGCTGGAAAGGCTATAAAACTAGTGAATTAAAAACTGCAGGATTTTTATACAAGAAAGTGAATCATCGGTATAAGTTTGTAGATCCTAAAAGTGATGCATCTACTCAAAAATAAAAAAATTCTGCGGTTCCTCAGAACGCCGCAATAAAAATCACCATGTCATCTGCGTCAGCAATTAGATTTCTGTTTAAGTGAATTTATATGGTTCGGAGTTCATAAATAATATGATTATCCTTTTTTTATATTAAATGTCATTAGGAATTTTTCGCCGTCGCAGTAAATGGCGTAAGTTTTCAAAAATTGATTTATTAGTTTAAAGTCTTGAATAAATATTTATGGACATTTTTATGCGCAATAAATAATTTGTATATATCTATAATACAAGCAAATAAAGAATGACTCCCCAATGGTCACCGATTGGCGACCATTGCCAAACTTTCCGCCAGCTGTCGACAGGATAATACGTAAGTACCAAACTTTGTGTATGAATTTTGTGAATAAATATAGCAGAAGAGCAAAAAAATAACCATAAAATTTTGAACTTTTTTTTACAACACCAGTGATAATTTTTACAGATGATGATATCTGGAGTAAATCCAGAAATCTTCATTAATTTACATCTCGCTATACAAATATAAATAGTATATAGCTAATACGAGTATATAAAACAAAGTATGGTAGCACTTAACATTCTGCAAAGATAAACGTTGATCAGCATAGTACGTCTGCTCGACATTCTTTTCTCTTCGCTTTTTATAAGATGACAGAGTTTTTTTTAAAATTAAATTTGACACATTAATATTTGATGCTTTGCTAAGTGCAGCACATTTGCTGAATTTATTAATCAAATATTCATGAATTTTGCATAAGGTGCAAAATAAATTAAAAAAAATTCGAAGTTGCAATTTCGGGTTCCAATGTGTGCATACTCGAGTGGAAAACTATGTGCATTTAGAATCTGGTAGCTGCAATGTCGCTTCTTTACCACAATGAGAAGAACATATATACGCAAATTTTTCATAACCTAAATTGTGGCGATAAGTGTTCAGTCATTTACGAAATGGAAATATCTTTTCTTTTTCACTCTAGCTTAACGTTTGCTACTTTCTGTAATATATAACAAATTGTATAATTTTTTGGTACAGTGTTGCTTATATAATACAAGAATTAAACCTCGTAAAAGCTTAAAAGCATTACAAATCACAAAATTAAATAAAGCATTAAATTAACGCTGTAAATTATAAAATTTTATTTCCTGAAATTAATGCTTTCAATTATTGTGTATGTGAAGAGAAAGGATCCTGATAAGAGAAATAGTTTTTAAACTTTTTTGTTGTTACCAATCTCATTTATCTGACAATGGTTAACACAAGCCCACGACATTCGTCGTGGCAAGAAATCAAATGCACCTGTCGTTGGCAAGGGCACCTTGAGCACCATATAAGTAACAGCCCGATTTTAGCTTAGTTCCGCACCCCCAATTTTGAGAGAGAGCATTTCGAGCATGTTACTAATTTTAAGATAGAAAAGGAGAGCCAAAATAAATAAATAAATAAATAAATAGGAGACTTAAGCGGCTATTACAAATTTAAATTAAAATTTTATTTTATACATTCTTCATCTTTCATATTTTGATATACGCATGCATATATATGTAATACAAAATAAATAAAATAATTTTAACTTATCCCTGGTAAATTGAAAATAATTTAATTAATATTCAAAATATTAGCAGTTATCAACAATACAAGCTGAATATAACAATAACTAAAATATGTAATGATTGTTAAAAAATTTTAATGAAAAATTAAAATATCAATACAAATAAAAAAATAGAAAAGAAAGTTAATATGAAAAAAAAAAAAAAAAAAAAAAAAAAAAAATGTAAGAAGGATTGCGATCTCTTTCCAAGTAAGGTTTGAAATCTAAACAGTGCTTCCGGAAAAAATGAAACATAGCAAAGAAAGCAAATTTCAAAATACAGTATATTTGGAGAAAAAGGTAAATAATTCCAAATAAATAAATAAAACAAAATTAAACGACATGAAAATTAAATAAACGATGTAGAAAAATTATGCCTCATTACTGTAAGCGTGTGTGTGAGTAACATAATACTTAGTCAATTTTTCTGAATCTGTAGTCCCCGGACCATAAGTCGTCCTTGAAGCTTATCCTTGTTGTTCTCCTAGAATTTCTAAAATAAAAAAGTAAAATTCAAATGAATTGCGTATATGGCACTATAGTTGAAGATCTCAAAGTTTGGACATTACACAGGGCAATCGTCTATCACTTTGCAGGGTTTATTTTAATTCTCTAATAATTATTTTTAATTTTGAAACCTTTTCCCTTAAATTCTTGTTTCACATCTACAACTCCCTGCCAGAATTAGTTTTCAGCATCGCGTTTTATGTAAATGAGGTAGAACCAGGATTTAATGGGAAATTCAGTCACTTCCGTGGAAGAGCTCAGAAGAGCGTGGTCTGCCTTCGGACTACGCCGTTGCTTTAAGCCTATCTTACTACGTTCAGCCGTAATCTTGCGTGTCTGTTAGTGTTTGCCGAGGAGGTTTAACTACGAGCCAACTAGGTTAGTTATTTCTGGGGAATTTAGGCTTAGTTAGTTAAAATTAGTTTAGTTTTATATTTGCAATCTTAAGTTAAGCCCAAATCGAGGCTTTCCTGTAAGCCTGAGAGGGGCCGTCTGTCAAATATTTCTTTGAGTAAATAAAAGGGTATTTTAACCCTTCCTTGAACTTTGTTTTTATAGTTGTAAGAAGACTAGCGAATAGTCGCTAGACTCTTTCCCAAGGTTCTAGTTGCCAAAGACACTAGATTAACTAGAACTTTATATTAAATAAGTAACCGAGTTGGCCCGTAATTAAGCTTCAGCGGCGAATATTAACAGGCACGTAAGACTACGGCCGAATTTAAAAAAATGAAAACCGTTGCTTTATATAATTCATTTCTTTGAATACTTAATATGTTATCTCTCTATTTCTTCAGCTGCTCTTGATGGCGATAATAGCATCAACAGTGATAGTTCAATTGATTTTCATGACGCTGAAGACTTTGGTTCCATAAATAGTGAGTTACATGAGATCGGAAATGAGCTCCCGCCTTTTTCAAAAATGCCTGGATTTGAAAGTGAAGTAGCTAGTCTTTCAGATTATGAGCAACGAGAACCTTACGATGACTTACTATCTATTGGAGACAGACAGTCTGAAATGACACCAGAGTCAGTGGAAAACTACAGTATATTCGATTTGGACAAAACACTAGGCAACTCGAAAGTTGCTGTAAGCAGCTCAGATTTTGACTCAAGCAGCATAATGAAAAATGTCTGCAAAGAATCGACCAAAATGCGAACATCATATCCTTCTTGCGGGGTATATAATGTTAAGAAGTACCCAAAAGAGAACGAAACAGTGGATTTTAAAATTCCAATTTATGTCGATCTTAAAAACAAAAACGTCAAATTCAGGTTAAAATCAAAGAACGATCTTATATCTTTGAAAGAACATTCACAATGTATTAAGCAGCCTTCTAGCAATGAGGAAGCTAATTTAATGCGAAGAAAAGCGAAAAGCATCCTGACTCCAGTGACACATAGCTCTATTAAAAATCCCAATAGTAAAAAATCTAATACTTACGCTATGGAATTCTTACATAATTCTGTTGAAACTTCCGTGAATTTCAAAGAATTTAACAATGAATGCAAGGACAGTTATAATAAAGAAGCTCAGGAATTCTGTGCTCAGGGACGAAATATACCTACATTTGAATCAAGAAGAGAATGCCCAACTATTAAAAATGATTACCAGAACTATAAACAAGCGACAAATGTTAGGACAAAGGAAAAATTAAAAATGGATGAACCTTTAAATTCAGCTTGCATTGCTCATGAGGAAAATTTTTCTAAGCTGTCCCACCACTTTAAAAATACGGCAAAAGAAAACAAAAGATCTCTTCCAAAACTTAAATTTGGCAATAGAAAAAATCCAGAAAGCATTCGAGGACAAACATTGTCTAATTGTAAAACATTTGCAGTTCAAAAAACGCAACCTCCTCAAAAATCTGGATATTGTAAATGTGGTCTTCAGAAAAAGTCCAAGAAACACACGGATACTCAAACAGAAGCACGTGATGATGATAATCATGAAAAACACTTAAAAAATATTAAATGCCAAGAAAAAACGGAAAATGATAGATTGTTGAATGTTAATATTATTTGTCAGTTTTATTCTAAGGAAGATACTGGAGACGAGCAAAGTAATTGTAGTGACGGAACAAAACAAACAAAGGCTAATCAAAAGGCATCAGATTCAGATCATGTACATAAAGGTAAGCAATTTAATCTCAAGGTTTTAAATACATTTATTTCTTTCAGGAATTACAAAATTTTAATTTTTCTAATCATTAACACTTAAATCTCCATGCCACTTTCACATCTAATATATGTCATCAATTATATCTGTATGGCTTGAGGTCAATATTGCAGTCCTAAACCTTTCATTTTTTTAAAACAGACATTTCGGCACTTCCTTTTTGAACACACGTAGTCGCTAACAAGCAAAACTTAATATCCTAGTGTGTAACTTGCGATTTTTAAATATCACCAAATTTTTATGCAGTGGCTACTTTAACAAGGAAGTAGCAATATTTCTTTATGTATTGCATCTTAAATTAATTTGCTGTATGCATTATAAGGGTCTTTAATTATTGTGCAATTTGCTTAAGTTATATATTTATTGCGGAATTCTGTAATTAATAATAAAATTAACAAAATTAAATTCTAAAGTTCCTGCGAATACTTTTCCTTTAAATGAAAACCATACAACTATCAACTAGAAGATCTGCAGTTCCTTCTCCCAGCTGATTTTTAGGCCCATTAGTGGCCGAGTTCAAATCCCGGTCAATAGGTTGGTTGCATACGTGTTTTCATGATTTTTCTCATATATAAGGTGATTAGGAACCACTTTCCTTTAAGAAATCCTTCATGGCAGCATTCCTCAGGCAGGTGGCTCTTGAGTGCTTTGTCATAATCAAACAAATAAATAAATGAAATCGAGAGGAAACGTAAACGAGCTCTTAGTTGTCGTTAAAAAAATCTCTAGAGTGTTAGTTTGCAGTTTTCAGCTAACCGAGAAAGAGCTCTTATGTTTCTTCCTATTAAGCATGGCATCAGTTTTCATGTGTTTCCCATAAAGTGCTTCAACAGCTAAATTTGGCATGTAATTCAAAGTTATATGCGAGCATGAAAATTATTTTCTGCAATAAAAAGTTTTATTGACTTAGTTTACACCATTCAGTAATGGAGAGAAAAGTTATTCTAATATTAACTTAAAATATACTCGTATTTCTTTCAAACGTTTCTGATAATAATGAACATATATGTAATTTACTGCTTGAAAGAAAATCATGAAAAACATTTATACATTTATATATATATATATAAAATATATTCTTTTTCAGATTTAGAAGAAACAATAATTTCCGAAGAAGGAGCCCAAAGGAGAACCACATGCCGTTACTTATCAAAAATTTTTTCCACAGTAAAACAACAGGCAAAGGGAAAGAAAAATTAAAAACAGCTGCTTTTAGTTGGTACTACTTCACATATTTTATAAAGAATAAAACCATTTTCAGCACGTAACGTGTATTTTAAACATAAAACGTGTATTTTAAGCACGTAACGTGTATTTTAAGCAATAAAACCATTTTCAGCACGTAACGTGTATAATTGCTACTCGAGAGAAGATTATTGTACTTAATGATATCCCAATAATTTAAAAATAAAGAAAACTTAGTGCTAATTCAAGATTCTTTATACTATACGCTACAGTAATGAATGGTAAACCGAAATTCAGACAATGAGGTAACATTCTGATTGGGCGATTTGAATTGTTTAAAACCATTTTTTATAATATAAAGAATCTGAGAAAATTGATGAAAGTATTGTTGCGTGCGTAAGGATTTGTAATGGATTGAATGCATACAGAACCAACGACAGCTTGATGAAATTTCTTTTTCAAAAACAAATTCAAGAAATATTTTACAGTTTGGTACTTTTCACACGAAAGCACTGATACAGTTCTTCTCGGCATGAATCAATGCCGAGAAGAACTGTATCAGTAGCACAATCAGCAGTCACCGACTACTAAGAACTACTAACAACAGACAGACTACTAAGAACGTTAAACACAAGTCAATGCAAACCGCGTGTAAAGAGCCAAGCTCTTACGGAAATCTCTCACTACTCCGAAGTCAATTCTGAACTAAAAAAATTCAGAACTGATGATCTCTCCGGTCTTATATAGCTTTTCCTCGCCTGCCGAGAATTATCTAGTATCTTCCATTTCTCGAAATTACTGAAAGACATATACAGTTAAAAATGCATATAAAGGCGGTGTATGGTTACAATTAACATATACTGATTAGTTATAGTTATTCAATTACAGTACCAATTATTGTTATACAGGGACCGTGCCAAAACGTCACCAAGTTTGGCGTAATTTGGGGATTCCTTCCCAAATCCGGGGACAAAAATGAGCCGCCAAAAACCATCGCTGTCTCGCGAATTTGGTGAGATAGCCATTTACCTCAGTGTTAAATGGACTTGCCTCTGTAATCTTATTTTCCTCGCGAAGCTTCACTCTTGAGGCCTTTCATGTTACATTTTAAAACAGATACTACAATTTTAAACATAATTTCAGTAAAATTATTTACATATATACAAAATTCGTAACAATATGGTAAAAACTAGGCAAAATATATAGTGTTGCGTGCGTACGGTTTCATAATAAATTGAATGCATAAGTCCGATGAAAAGTGAATAAAATTTATTCTTATCACAACAAATAAAACAAAATGCTGAAATTTCTTCAGAGATATTCGTACAATATCGCAATATCTCACAGTAGTTATATTTTAAACTACTAAAACGTTGAACAGAACTCAATTAAAAAAAAAAAAAAAAAACACTGAGAAAACTAATCCGATCTCACCGCGAATTCGCTACAATGAATAACAACAATCAGTAAACAACTGAATTGAGATACTTTATTCTGGCTTTTATAAGCTTTTTAATCTGTCACGAGAAGCTTTTCATAATTTCTCGAGTTTTCTGGAAAGCAAAAGAGTACAATTACAAGATATCTATTTATTAAATGCGCGTGCTCCTATATTTTAATTTTTCTCACGTAGCTTTCTCTTCAAATAAGTCTCGTGCTACGTTGCACGGAGATATAAAACAATTTTAGTCATAAATCTCATAAAAATAGCAAATTAAATACAAAATCCGTAGCAATATATATGTAAAATATAAAAAAATACGACGGCTTCGCTCTGCGCGAACAGGCAACCTATAATTAACTTTTATTATTCATTTCAGGATTTCAGGATTTCCCTAGACCAGTGCTTTCTAGACCATACTGGCACGTTATATAACTGCTAGTATAAATAACTGTGCGCGCCATTTTTCGTCAGACTGGCTTTCTTCTACCGCTGCTACAAGTCTTTGCTGCTCATCCCATCTTTTTCTTTCCTTTGTTAGAACAGATATGACGTAGAAAGTCTAAATTTAATCTTACTTAGTTTAAACACTGTTAAATATGTAATTTGGAAAATTTCATCAAAAGGAAAAATGATCTGCGGTGAAAATTGAATAAAGATGTGGAATCTAAAAAGCTAAATCCTTCTTTGTCTTCATTTTTCAGCCTTCTACTCAGCCACAACAACGCTCGGACTCTGATGTAGTTATATCGTCAAGCTTTGTCATTCCTGTGCCTGCCTGGTAAAATATTACACACGCATACACACACACACACACATATATATATATTATAAAATTAGATTGCAGGAAAAATAAAATTCAAAAATTAAGTAAGAGAATAATGCATTGAAAAAAGATGTAATTACTGGTACACAAATGAAGCATTTATAAAATACATGTCTTCACGGATAAAAAAATTTATACTATCTCAAATTGTATAAATTAGCAAATTAGAGCTCAAAGTATATTCACTATCTATTCGCAATGCTGCTTACAAGCATGAACAATATTTAATTTACAATAGGAATCACAGAGTATTTATAAATGAATTTACTACTGGCAATGAATTACATAGGGCATAAAGTGTTTAGAATAGCTCGCAGTATGACAGAATGAGAAAAAATATATTTCAAAATATATGTGGCAACTATGAAGACCAAGCACATAAATTTATGCGCATAACATTTACTTGTATATTGTTACGAGTTTTGTATACATGTAAATAATTTTAGTGAAATCATATCTAAAATGTAATATTTCTTGTACAAAGTAACAAATCTCAGAATGCCAAGCATAGCCTGTACAACAGAGGTATAAGGATAAAAGTCCATTTAACATTGAGTTAAATGGCTGTCTTTTCAAATTGACGAGATAGTACCAAACTGATGATGATTTTGGCAACAGGTTTTATCGCCAAATTTAACGAGTAATCACCATAAGTCGCCAAGTTTGGCGACCATTTGGAAACATTTTGGTCCAAGTCCTATTTAACTATAACTTTTTCCGGCCCTGTGTAATGGAAATTTCTCGGCGGTTGAGGGGGGGGGGACTATACAATATCGGAGAAAGCATCAGTTTTCAATAGGGTCTCGCTTTAACATATAGATTATGCTTCACTGGCGGAATTGATTAGCGTCTGTTATACACTACTGACAATGTACCATGAGATTGGCATCTAAAGACACTATTAGAGAGGAAATTAAACAAGCGACAAGTTCTTCAAAATAAATTTCGGTACTTACGTATTATCGCAACCAGGTTGGCGCGATTTGTAAGTTTGAGTAAAAAAGTATGAATAGAAAGAAAATGTACATTTATTAATTACAGATAATTTTTAATACAGTTTTTTTATATTATTTTGTTTTAAAATCTAAAATAGCAATTAAACCCTTCCGGTTTTGAATTTGAATAAGTTGCAGAATTATTTTTTCGGCGGAAATCTTTTGGCTATTGCTTTTAGCACTGATTGAAAACCGTCTTCGCCATTAACAGCTTGAGCTTAGCGCCATATAAATTCGATAAGGTATGAGTCAAGATGAGGACGGGCTGTTCCTCTCTGTTTTTTGTTGCGCCAAATTTAATTGAGGTTAGCTCTTTACACCAACAATAAATGAAGCGCACCGCTGTCACAAATGAAATTCGGCTACCTTCAAACCAATTTCTGGTTCTCACACCCAAATGTTGATTGCACTCTTCGATGTTACATTTCCAGAAGATTTGCTTTCCAAAATACAGTTTCATTTTATGAGAATTTTTACAAGTACGTTCGTTCGGTATAATTCCATATCCCTGCAACAATTCAACAGCATCTTTTTCACTCGCAGGCAGATCCCAAATACCCATAGTTAAAGTATTTCAAGGCATTCAATCTAACCAGTAAGAAAAATAATTTCTTTAAGAAAAACTACGTATAACACGTAGGGTTGTCGTAAGTAGGGTCGCCAAATTTGGCGATTTATGCGAATTTTGGCCTGGTTGCGTTAATACGTAAGTACCTAAATTTCTTCACCGTATTATCAGAGCTCTTTTGTTTTTCAGAAGCAAAAGTCTGCTTCATCTTATTATCAGAGCTCTTTGGTTTCTAAGAAATAAAAATCTGCACAAAAACTTAAGGATTAATTACGTTAAGGACTACCTCAATAAGCTAAACGGAAATTTCTGTCATAATGCCAAAACAAATCAGGCTACAAATTTAGCTGAAATTTTATGAAATTATTCCAGACATTTACGTTTCGTAACGCATCATACTATAGAGGTGCAGGTTGGAACTCATCTGTCGGCACTTTTATATTTTTCATGCCTCACTCATTAAAAGTAATTTTTGCATCATCCAGTTTCTGTTCAGCATCATTCATTAATAATTATATTTTTCTGTGCATCTGTGTCTCTAGAATTAATTTTTAACCATTCGAAATCTGGGAAGTTCTGACTCAGAGCGCGAGCTTTACTTAGCATAATTCAGGTTTCTGAACTTTTCTTCTAAGTTCTTTGAATCTAAGATTTATCCCTGATCATGTACGTAATTGTATTTGGAAATACCTTATTTTATTTTCTCAACTTTAATTGTTTTTACTTTTCTGCAACAATGTTTAATTTGTTCTGCACCGTAAAGTGGCGAATGTAAATTCCAGTACCGCCAACTCTCACTGAAACAGAATATCCATAAAATGAAATAAATTAAAAAAGAGGAACTTTTATGATAACACTAAATATGTGATGAGCTATGAAACAAAAATACATTAGAAAATAAATGCGAAATAAGTTAACTGATTATTTCACGTTACAAAAATCTATGGCATTAATTTAAAGCGATTCGAAAGCATAAACACGGATGAAGAAGTCTATTTCAGCATACGCTTTTTAAGTCTCGAGTAAATTCCTGCATGTCTAAGCTCATCCGAATAACAAATGAGTAATTCTTAATCCAAAGAGTACTAAATATTTTCTTTTGGCCTGCGAATACTGCTTAAGAATTTATTTCTTTGATATGGAAAGAAATTTCTGTTAAATTTCTCATTGTCAACACAGCCCGCACATTCCTTAGCAGTTAACTATGCGTGGCTGAAATTTGTATTCTTCGCCGATCGACGAAGGTTGCCAAGCTGAAAAAATGTCTATTTAGCATGCATTTAGCGTCTATTAGCATGCGTAGAAAAAATGTCTATTT